GGGGGGGGTGAGTGAGCCTTCCGCGTAAATAAGGATCTGCCGGACAAACAGAGCCGCTGGGCCCCAGGAGGGGAGTCACTGCTGCGGTCAGCACCTGCCGGATAGAGGAGGGGGAGGGCGGGGGTGCGAAATGACCACCGCAGGGGCTTACTGCTGGCCCAGCCGCCCACACGCACGGCGATATTTTCTCCTCGGGGCAACATGGCCACAAAAGAGACACGTCACGTGTGTGTGTCGCAGGAAATTGAGAGATCTGAAATTTCTTTTTGTTTTTATGTGCAGGAGAAGCAAGGCTGACTCACCTTTCGGGGGGTTGACGGCGACGGCAGACCGGTACAGGGACACTTCATCTTGCCAGTCCAGGTTCCGCAAGACGGTCCTGGCGGAGAGTCCGAGCAGCGTGATGCAAACGGCACTCTTGAGCGCGTTGGGGTGCGCGTCGAGGAGTCGCCTTGCCCCCAGGGCCACGAGGAGGCAGAACCCGATGCTCGGTAGGTAGAGGACGCGCTCGGCCACGACGAAGCCGACGTAGAAGAAGAGGTTGGAGGCCGGCAGCAGCGGCAGCACGAGCAGCGCCAGGGCCGCCAGCACGGCCTCCGCCACCGATACCGTGAGCCTAAGCGACGGCCTCCGGCAGCGGCATGGGCGGGCGCCCACCTTGGGGTGGTTGTTGTTGGCGTCCGGGTCGCACGCTGGGCACGGGAGCCGCCGGCGGGGCCGCGGTCCGTGGTTCCTGCTTCGCCCCGCGAGGCCGCCGTCGAGAGGGTCGTGCCGCACCCGCAGCGACCGCCACGCCCCGCGCGCGCACCGCCACAGCGCGGCGTACAGCACGAGTGTGAGCGCGTTGCGGGGGTCGGATACCGAGGCGACGCGCGGGACAGCGTCCATGGACCAGTCGAAGCTGAGGTGGCGCGGCCACAGCAGTAGCAAGGCGTTGACGACGGGCAGGTGCAGGAAGGTGAGCGTCCTGGTGAGCACGGAGGGGCTGTGCGCCGCGGGGTTGTCAGCGGCGGCGAAGCTGGGCGCTCGCAGCCCCATGGCCCACAGACGGCTGGCGACGAGGGCCGCGGCGGCCGCCGCCAGGACGGCCAGCCGGACGGGTTCGGCGCGCCGCCGGCCGCGCCGCACCTGGACGAGGGCCTCGTAGACGAAGCACACGCCCAGCACGGTGACGCCGGGCTCCTTGCTCAGCGTGGCCAGGACGGCGGCCAGCAGCGAGGCTCCCAGCAGCGCCCCGCCTCGGCCGCTGCAGCGGGCGCAGGACGCGGACGCGACCTCCTTGGGCTGCTGCGGGTGCAGGTCGGCCGCTGCAGCGGGCGCAGGACGCGGACGCGACCTCCTTGGGCTGCTGCGGGTGCAGGAGGCGGTCCAGCGCCACGTTAATGAGGTCCCTGGAGGGCGGCGGCCGGACCGAGCCGCGGGACGCGGGGTGCGGGCAGCGGTGCAGCTCGCGCCAGTCCACGTAGCGCAGGTAGGCCAGCAGCGACAGCAGGAAGAACACGGCGCAAAGCAGGTCGGCGCGGCCCACCACGCCCGCCACCGCCTCGCAGTGCACGGGGTGCGCGGCGAACAGCAGCGCCGCCACGGTGGCGGCCCAGGGCGAAGTGAGCAGGCGCCGGCCCAGCTGCAGCACCAGGAGCGAGGCCATCACGTGGAGGAGGACGTTACCTGTGGGCGCAGCAGGACATTCAGTTAGTAAAACGGTCAGAACGACGCATGGCATTGACTTTCCTTTGGTTTGTTTCTTGCCGACAGGGATGCTTACCGAGGTGGAAGCCCCAGGCGCCGTCCTGGAGGGGCGCGCCGCCGGCCAGCAGGGCGTTGAGCCGGAGCGACAGCACGGTGAGCGGCCGGTAGGAGCCGTGCGACCCGGACTGCGTCAGCGGCGTCCCCCAGAAGTCGTTGGCGAACGCCGACAGCCACGGCGAGGACCCCGTCACGTCGGGGTTGCGCAGCACCGCCCGGCTGTGGACACACCAACACACAGGCACGGTCAGAGACACCGTTCAGTTATAAATCACCGAGTTGCCATGCGATCGCAATCAGAGCGGCCGGTGGGGGAGCGCGCTATCGTCCCCAGCCCAGCCCAGCCCGCCGCGGCCCGGTGGGACGGACGGGACGGACGTGATGGCCAGGGGGAGCAGGACGACCGACCGTTCCGATGCAGCGTCGATTTTCTGTTCGTGCTTATATATTTTTTTTGTACAAAAAATAAAAATGAAAATGTCCACAGAAAGAAAATAACCCCCCAATTTGTAGCGTTATTGAGGGGATGTATGCGACGCGGCCCGGCAAAAGTCATATAAATCGGGTTGGGGGCGACGTGTGCAAATAAATCAGCGCGCGAGATGAGCGGCAGGCCGATTGGAACGATTATAAATTCAGTATGATGCTGTTGACCTTTTCTCTTTCCAGTGCCACGGCAGGGAGGGAGGGTGGGCAGGGAGCAGAGCTGGGAGGACCCCGCGGGGCTCTCCTCTCTCTTTCCCTCTCGCACGCTCTGCACCACCACGGGGCATGTCGCTCGGCCCCTGTCTGCCAGACTCGACTCGACACCTGCCAGGCACGACGCCACGCCACCATACTGCTCCAGCTGGCACCAGCGCTGGCACCAGCGCTGGCACCACCACCACCGGGGGCCCCCACCTGCACCCTCGTCAGCCCGGAGAGCACCAAACACACGCAAGTCCACCACCCCCGGCCCGCCACGGGCAACAACAACAGGACCCTCGGCGCGATGGAGGCGCACACGCACGCCTCTCCGTTGTCATCTTTCTCTCCCTCTCCCTCTCTCTCTCTCTCTCTCTCTCTCTCTCTCCCGGTTTCCCAACAGAAAAAGTCCAGAAGACGTCCAGCTCCTCTCCTCTCTCGCCGTCCGTCGTCGCTCATGACAAATGGCACCTGGCGCCGTCCAATAAGTGCGGGCCAGGCCAGTCTCCGCCACGCGACGCCACTACCACCACCACCACGCCGCCCTGGCCGCGGGCCGCTCGACGAGGAGGAGGAGGAGGTCAAAGAGCCGGACGTCGCCCTGTCGGCAGTTTATTACGGACTCGCGCGTCAAGCAAGCGGCTCGTTTCCTGGACGAGTTCCTGCCCCCGCCGTGCCGTGCCGTGTCGAGGGGCCACGGGCCCCGGGGGGCGTCTGACAGGGCCGATATTGGCTCGTCACCGACTTGCCGATACACGGCGGCGACCTGGAGGCGCGAGCGAGGCGAGCGGCGTGTGGCACGGAGCCAGCTGTCTATAGGCGCCTCGCGGCTGCCACACGGACAGGGTGTCGCTTAAATTGATTGACCGAACGCCACAGGGGAAAAAAAAGAATTAGCTAAAATAGCTAATGCATTCGCTAATTTCGGCTTTGGCTTTAGATCACAATATAATAGCTCGCTTAGCTATTGCTTTGCTAACAGAGGTAACATATTAGCTTTCACAGCTATTTTTTTTTTCTAGACAACTGTTATGGCTATTTTTTTAGCTCTCTTAGCTAGTAATGTGAGCTACTATTCTGTTTTAGGACCATATTAGTGAATGCATTAGCTAATTTAGCAAATTCTTTTTTTTCCCCGTGTGGAAGCGCGGAGAGAGCTGCTCGGGTCGCGAGGGCAGAGTAGGTGCATCATGTGGTGGGTAAGCAGGCCGGGCCACGCCCGAGTGTACCGCGGGCGGCGCGTTTGCGGCGCTGGAGGGGCCAAAACACAACAACAGGAGCTTTTACGCGCCCCGGCCTGGTCTGCACGTTTGTTGTTCTGTATCGAGCCGAGCGTATGGCCAGTGGCGGCGCTGTGAGCTAGCAATAAAGACAATAACGCAAAAGTAGCACAATCAACAACACGCTCCTGTGTGCTGAATATAAAGGTTAAAAGAAATAAACAATCTTCATATTGCGCTGCTGCCATGTAGTAGTGTGTGTTCATTGTCTATGTAGTTTTGCAACGGCAGACGGTGCGAACGGCGGGGTAGGTTTCCAGTAGAGTGGTCTGTGTCGACGAGCGCCGTCCGGCTGGAAACGCCATCCTACTGTGTGTGTGTGTGTGTGTGTGTGTGTGAGAGAGAGAGAGAGAGAGAGAGAGAGAGAGAGAGAGAGAGAGAGAGAGAGAAAGAGTGTGTGTGTGTGCAGCGGCTGATCAAACTTTCACTCGGCGCTTGTTCATCATGCAGAGTGGCCCCGCCACGCCCCTCTTCGTACCTCCTAGGAATGCGACCGCACCGAGGAGGGGGCCTCTCGCATGCTGCCACGCCCCGCCACACCCCGGCCGGACTACATTATAGAGGGCTGTGTCTTCCCCACGGTTACCGGCTGAGTAATAGCGGGGCCGAACAACGCCGTCCGTAAATCACATTTATCGAGGAGTCGGGGGCGGGGCGGGGCCGGCGCGTCCGCCCTGCGGTGTGTAGCGTTTTGCCGAACACGCGGCCGGGGGGCGGCGCAGGGGCGGCGCAGGGGCGGCGGCCTCCGAACAGACGTTAGTGCCGTGTCCGCAGGGCCCTTATACGGGTGGCCGAAAAATCTCTGCGATCGCAAGTCGGGGAGCGTCTCGGCTAGATTTCTGCTGGCTGGAGGTCAAACACCC